GCCACACGAGGGGTTCCACCAGGGGGCCCCCGGCAGCGCGACCGGCTGAGCCGCGTGCATTTGTTTTGAGCCCGTGGGCATGTTGTAGAAGATGCTGCCCTGCCGTGGGTGCTCGCCGCCGCAAAAGCAGCAGCGATACAGGAGCGCCACGGGCCTCCCGCCCGGCGCCACCTCTCTGGCCGCCGGGGGCTCCGCGCCGCAGGAGCAGCCCCAGCACGCGCCCCGCAGCGCCTCGGGGGCTTCTTGCATTTGTTTCGCGCTCGTGAGCATGTGGTAGAGGATGCTTCCTTGCCGTGGGTGGTCTTCACCGCAAAAGCAGCAGCGGTACAGGACCGCCACCGTCCGCCTACCGGACAGCCCGTCTCTACCCACGGGGGGCTCCGCGCCACAGGAGCAGCCCCAGCACAGGCCCCCGGGCCGCGCCCTGGGCGCCCCCTGTGCTTCCGAAGCCTCGTGCGTTTGCTTAGCGCTCGTGAGCATGTTGTAGAGGATGCTGCCGGGCCACTGGCGGTGCTCGCCCGACATGGCCCGCGGTGCCCGCAGCCCGGCTCTGTCCGGAGGCGGCCGCCCGGGATCTATTTATACTGGGCGCGCACGCACGCGCATCGGCCGCCTCCGCCTGGGCAAGGGCGTGGATCCGGGCGCGGCGCTGCACTCCCCGGGCTTGGCTGTGACTTTGGCGCTTCCAAAGGGGCAGAAATTCCGTAAAGGCTGGAAATGAAAGGGGACGGAGGCATGAGGACTCCTGGACACTTCCCATTTGCCTCTCGCTGCACCCTTCCCTGCCTCTGGAAGACCAGAGCAGAGCGCAGGGGACAGGTATATGGGGCACTGTTCCAACTTTTCCCGTTGATTCCAGGCATCTAATTTGCTCCTTTTATTGGGAGGGTAAGGGTGCCCAAAAGGGGAAAATATTATTTCTATGCCATCTTTGTAAACTTTCATTGAATGATCAAACTTTATATGACTTATATTTTGTATATGGATAGGGAAGTCTCATTTTCAGCGACCTTGAAAAATACAGACCATGGACCAGCAGTATCAGTATCATATGGGAACTTGGTAGAAATGCCCAATCTCAGGTCCCAGTCAGACCTTCTGGCTCTGAATCTACATTTTAAGGAGGTCCCCAGAGGACTTGCATGCACCTTAAATTTGGAAAAGCACTGGTGTAAGGATGCTATCATAATCATTTTCATTAATTCCATTAATATTTATGAGCACCCACTGTGTCTTAGATGATGTGTTAGAGAGCTGGGGGCAGCAATGAGGCTGTCAAAGTGGCTAATATTTGGAAATACAACAATCACAAGGGGCTAAAAGCTTGCTACAGTGAGAGCTTTGAATTCTAGAGGTATTATACTGGGCAGATGTGTAATTCACATTTCTTCTCCCACTCTTTCTAAGCGAATAATGAGAAATACAGGTTTTGGGAAGCCTGGATCCTTCCATCCTCACTTGCCTCCTTCCTCAAGTTCCATACAGGTGCTGAAATCAGTGGGTTTCTCCACAACACTACCTGCCCCTCTTCTAAGTAGCTGATTGTTTCACCAACCAGTTGGGTAACTTCAAAATCACAACTCTTTAGCCCTCAAGTTCCTCATCTCTAAAATGGGAGGTTTATTTAGTGATCTCTTGGATCCAGTACTGCAGACATGGAGCAGTGAAGGGGACTGGTGTATACCCACTGGTTTAGGATTCCCTTTCCCTTTTTTTAGTTTCTCTGAAACCTGGAATTCTGAGCATAAGAAGAAAACCTAGGAGATACCTATTTTGCATTCAACCTGCAGTTTTATTTTGCCTACGAGAGGCCCTATAACACAATTGTTAGATCTCTAGCACTGGCACCAGATTGCCTCAAATTTAATTCTGGCCCTGACACTTTGTAGCTCCCTGGCCTTGGACAATATATTAGTTTCCCATTGCTGCTGTAACAAATTGTCACAAATTTAGTGACTTAAGCAACACAGATTTATTATGATACAGTTCTGGAGGTCAGAACTCTGAAATCAGTTTCACTAGACTAAAATCAAGGTGACATTTCTTCTAGAAGCTCCAGGGGAGAATCTATTTCCATGCCTTTTCCAGCTTCTAGAAACTGCCTACATTCCTTGGCTTCTGGACACATCACTCTGATTCTGCTTCCATCTTCTTTCTGACTCTTTTAAGGATCTTTATAATTACATTTATAATCTAGAATAATTTCTCCATCTCAAAAAAGTTTAATTACATCTACAAAGTCCCCTTTACTATGTGAGATAACATATTCACAGATTCTGAGGATTAGGACATGGACATCATTGGGGGATATTATTTAGCCTTCTACAGGAAAGTTACTGTACCTCAGTTTCCTTATTTGTAAAAACATGGACAATAGTCTCCTCTGTGAGGTAATCCTTCTACATGAGTTAATACATGTAGAATATTTGCTTGGTACATAAGTATTGGATGTATCAACCACTATCCCCCTTTTTTAAAATAATGTGGATAATTTCAGGTTTAGGAAGTGACACTATACATCAGCACCACTATTATTCTATCTCTCCTAAGGAAACCTGCCCTTACCCTCTACACAGAAACTGTCTCTCATTTTCTTCTGCATGTCCACATCTTGGCCCAGACTCAAAACATTGGATGGGTTACCCGGTCCACAACAGTCATATATATTGGAAATATCTCATTTTCTATTTCATCATTTGCTATTTCTAATATGTGAGCTACTAATTTGGGTATGGCTACTGCTGCTTCTGCACACTTCCTGCTTGATGAAACCACCAACTAGCCTAGGCTGAAAACCCAGCCCACTCAGTCCTACCTTAAGTTGCCAGTGGTAGTTACTTTAAACGATGTGATCTCATTTTATTTTCTTCTGAACACTTATCAGAATCTGATATGAATGATTTATTTAGTTATTTGATGTTTGTTAATTATCTCTCCCTCCCCCGACACACACACAGGTACACACACACACACACACACACACACACACACACACATACACACTAGTATAAAAGTCCCTTAAGGGCAAGGAATAAGTCACTCTGTATCCCAGCAACTAGAACAATGTCTGGCATGTCATAGGTGCTCAAAAATATATTTGTTGGCCAACCATACCTTTAGAGAAAGAGAAAAAGGCTATAGTTCGTATTCTAGATAGAGAGCAAGCATTCTCACACAACTATTGCTGCAGTGTCCCTGGAGGGAGGAGAAATTAGCAGGCCCCATTGGACTCAGAACTTTCTGGATAGGCACTATGGTAAAGTAACAAGAGGACTGAGTTAACAGTCAAAAGACATGACTTTGAATTTGGGCTCTTTCACTAAAGATAATACATTGAGTAAGTCATTTAACTTCAGCCTTCACACTTGCTAAGTGGGGAAGAAAACTATACAGCAATATTAATCTGTACACTCTAAGTCTTTCAAAGGTTGTTTTTTTTCTCTCAATATATTTCTTTACAGAAATGTTTGCTGACCTCATCACTACATTGACAATATAAAGCAACTTAAGTTTATACTCATTCACTTTCTAATGATTTAACATTGAGCTAAGCATTTAGCATTACATTAGCCTTTTCAGCTATCAAACCAGAAAAAAATGCTATAAACTGTTTTAATATATGCACCCTAAACTTACATAATTCAAGGGTTTTTCTAAATCTCTTTCATCTTATCAACTGTATTTTTTATTTTATTTTATTTTATTTATTTTATTTTCAACTGTACTTTTTATAAATCCTAGTAACTTGAACCCACTTTTGTGGCTTTAATCATTCGCACCTCACACAGATGCCGTGGACTTTCAGACCTTGTCTCAAATTGAAACTTCAGTATAGTGCTCAAAACCATGAACTTGTAATATATTGGTTACAATTCTGTTCTTTCCCAGGAGCAGTGTCTTCAGATTTTTTTTAACTTGTGTGTGTGGGTTTTTTTGAAGTCGTGATCTTCTATTCACAACTCTGAAGGACTTTCTAGGTTCTTTGGTTTGACTGATTCTAAGAAGAGATTGTCTGCTTGTCCTTCACAAGTATTCATCTTTGGAAATGTCAAGAGAAAACTGACTTCATCTTTACACTTTCCATTTTTTTGCCTGAATGAATAGCTCCTGAGAAACAAAATCATCTAAACACAAAAGTGCCGAGATTTGCACCAAGTAATGCCAACTCACTGGTTGCCACAGTGAAGACATAACCTTCTAAGGCAGGCACAGGCTTCTTTATTTGATATGTCCCATGTCCTCAGACCACTGTGACAGCTAGACAGAAGGGCACTCATCAACTGCACCTGTCATGTGCTGAGTTTGTCCACAACTGCAATTTGGATATTTATACCAAGTTATTGTTCGATGACCTTGGTCAGTTGGACACCTGCTCTGCAGGATCCCATTATCTGTTCCAACTCAGGGTGGGAGTAAAGCTGCTCTGCCTGCCTGCATGCAACCTTCAACTTCAAAGCAATGCAGTGTTCACTAAAGGATGTAGGAGTGAAGTACAGGTGGGGATAAAACGGCGTAAAATGCTAAAACTGACCTTTGCACAGCAAGCAGTTTTTGACCTGGGAAGGCTCGAAGATCTGAAACTTGATATGAATTTTCGATGCAGGCTGAAAAGAGCTGGAATGCCTCAGAATTCAGCTCCTTCAGTAAACAGGTGACAGGAGTGTTTTCCTGATTTTTCAAGGTAAATATTGGGTAAACACTATTTTAGGAGAGTAGTGGCTGATAAAATCCACGAGATAGCCTTCCTCCATTTCCTTTCCAAGACCCAGAATGTCTAAAGCTCTTTTTGTGGAAGCATTAATAGGCTTTAGCTGCTGACTCGTGAAACCCCTAAAGACGATCTAGTCATCATTATTTATTTCCTTTGAATGAACTACAGAGAAGGCCTTAGGGGTCACATAGTTGCCGAGCTGGAATAATGACTCTCAAACAGTAATTCGGAAATTTTCCAAAATCAACTTTCCAAATCACTATAACAACCACTCTATTCAAGGGAAAACATTCACCAAACCAATTTGTTTTACTTCATCTACCAATTTTGAATCTCTCCCAATACCAGATGTGGATCAAATTGTCTAATTAATAGATGCAATTGACTGGCAGGTTGAAAAGTGATTACCCCATTGGTTGACAAGCTACTAACATTGATGAGGCTGGTCACTTTGAAAATCATTACCCTCTTGGTCCACATAACTATATCCCCTAATGATGATGGTAATTTTAGTTACAGACTCCCCTTGTATAGAGGCCTGGAACTGTTGTAATATCTCCCTCCCAGGAACTTTCTTTCTTTTCCCTTCCAACTTTTCTTACAACTTATTTCCCCCAATCATTATACCTAAAGTGCCTTGTATATTGCCTGGCATATTAAAGACAATGAACAACTGTTAATAAAACAGTGAGTGAAAAGTTTCTTCCACTTTACTAGGTTGCCCAACCTTTTCTCCTTTCCCATGATTGTGTGGGTTTTAACAGTCTTGCTAGACCTGATGGAAAGACCCTAGGTCCCTTCTGCTAGTTTGATA